GTACGGCTCGAGAAAAATGATTGATTCGAAGTTTTGTCTCTGTATGGAATTCTATCTAAGAAATGACAACTGGATCCATAAAATGATCAAAGCAATTAAAGATCTAAGTCTTTTTTTCTTCGTTCTTCCTTAAAATGAAAAATAAACCATTCGTACTCTCATAACTCAAGTTGGATAACTTTCAAACAGTTCAAAGGAAAATCTTTCGGCAATTTCATTTATTGAGCGGTCTTTCCTCCTTTTTTGTTTGTCTCGTTTAAAATCGGATTCTTCAGTCTGATCCAGTTATTAAGACAATTAAAAAGGTGTTTCCTTGTTCTGGGATCCTTTATCTTTGTTTTATTTTAAATCATTGGGTTTAGACATTACTTCGGTGCTTTTTAATCCTTTCAAAATGGCAGCAACATACCCTTTTTGCGATTTTTATGAAAGAATCCTACAAGATGATGGATTCCCTCGTGAAACACTTTGGATCGAAAAAGTTTGATCAATTCCAATAAATTTTTTAATTTGAAACTTGCTCGAATTGGATTCTTTCGATTTCCATACCTAAGATATATTAGATATATTTACGAAGTTGTTTCAATTGTTTTATTGATTGGCATTAACCCTAGACCCTTGCCCCGAGAAAGAAATTAATACTTTCTACTCGAGCTCCATCATGGACTATTTACATTCCAAGACAACAAAAAACGAGGGGTTCTAGTGAAACAGAACCAATGATGTCGAGTTAAGAGCACCTTCATTCCTACAAAAAATGGTGGATGTACAAATCCACAACGGATCGTGTCCTTCAAGTCGCACGTTGCTTTCTACCACATCGTTTCAAACGAAGTTTTACCATAACATTCCTCTAAGAACCGGTATGGAATTGATTCAATTATGGAATCATGAATAGTCATTGGTTGGGCTGATGTATAAACACCATAATCTAAAGTATTTTCTATATCTTCTATATCTATAGTATATAGATATAAATAATACTATAGATTAATACTATAGATATAGGGTGGATAAATATTTTTCTGAAGAAGTCTTAGTAAGACCCCATCGCTAATATTAAATTGTCTAACATTATAATATTAATTAATAAATATATATAATAAAAAATTTTTTTATATAAATAAAATAAGACGAATAAACGAATTCTTTTTAATTCTGCATCTTCACGTGACTTAATAGGAGAGAAAGATTCAGCTTCTAAGGAATGATTTAAACTATTTCTCTTTCGAAATTTCGAATCAATTTCGAAAGTTCCCCTCTCGACATCATTATTCCAAGAAAATTTGATAGTTAAAAATAACTTTTGATCATCTTAGGAAAAAAGATAAGTCTTTTTTTTTTTTTTTTCATCTGATTAATAAAATCCAAAGAATGGGGAGGGTTTCGTATCTATCAATTCGATCAAATAGACTGAGCAATTGTCACCGTTTATAGATATTGAAATGAACGCCTTCCCATCACTGATTAACTCCTATCTACCCCATTCTCTGGGACTGATGCAGCATAAATCAAAAGAAGGGGATGTCCTAGTCTTTTTTTTTACGAAATGCGAGCTGGCTGGGCACAAAGCCAAACAAGCCCAGATTAAGTCCAGTTTTTGCTCCTTTTTTCTATTTTAGCCTACCTCATTGATTAAGAATTAAGAGACTTAGTGAATTGAATTAGTACCAAAAACCCCTTCTTGGCGAAAAGTCAAGAAATCCACAAAAAAGCAAATTGAATCTAATTAGGCTAATTTAGGGGGTAGAGAATATGAGATAGGGAATATGGATTCTTTCGTATCTCGATTCAGTTTTTGAAAAAAAAAAACGATTCATCGAAGAAAAAAATCAGAAACAACAATCACATTCCAGCTAACATTTCGATTTTAAACAGAACATTGTTAAAAAAGCAATCTATATTGTCAGAGAATATATATGTTCTGGGACGGAAGGATTCGAACCTCCGAATAGCGGGACCAAAACCCGTTGCCTTACCACTTGGCCACGCCCCATTTAGATTTCTATGCGATACTAATAAAGTATATTGCTGGTTTTGTTTGTTTGTCAACTCTAGCCCAAATATCTATAGAATCGATTAGATTGGTATTCGGATTTTTCTATGTTTTTGGTATGTGTAGATATAGAATTCAACTTAATTTATTGATCATTACATATAATTCAATTAAGATATTGTATGAAAATATTATTTTTTCGATTCTCCTTTTCTCAAAGGAGGATTTTTGATTGGGTGGGTTCAAAGAAAAAGAAGGATTTTTTGTTTACCTTACTTACTTTCCTTTTCCTTATAACTTACTTTCCTTTTCCTTATATAAATAACTCAATCAAAATGCAATTATCTCCAAGAACAAAAAGTCTGTTATGCTTAATACCTTTAGTTTGATCGGTATCTGTCTTAATTCGACCCTTTATTCGAGTAGTTTTTTCTTCGGCAAATTGCCCGAGGCCTATGCTTTTTTGAATCCAATCGTAGATATTATGCCAGTCATACCTCTGTT